TGTTGTCCAAGAAGAAGAAGAAGAAGCATCGCAGCAGATGCTGCGGATGAAGCTCTGTTCTCCCAGAAGAAGAAGAAGCATCGAAGCAGATGCTGATGTTGAAACAAAAGAAGCATCCACACAGACTCCTGCAATCTAACCTTGACCGTTAGATTAAAAGAGTCTCTGACTCATCTGGGCCCTTCATTTGTTAAGTGCCAAGCACATGAGTGAGCACATGCTCACATTTGTATTAGTGCAAATACACTAAAGTGAGTATGGGATCACATAGTAAACAATATACCTTGTCTAGGAATATTATACATACACTTTATATATGTATAGGAGGTAGATGTATATACAAGCCATGGTAGTGAATGTAAAGAGACAGTGAAAATTAATCTACATCAGCTCTTTTTTCATTCTTTCAGATTTTCTGTCCAGTGTCCGTTACCTATATTGGAGTCCGATAAAATTCGAATTTGCACGGGAAATCTCACATAAGGAGGGGGGGGATCACGACCCAATTCTCGCTATAGATCGTGACGGCGCCCAACGTTGCGGTTAGGCAAGCCAACAGTAAACTATCAACTTATTAATTTTATTACTTTTGAAATCATGATTTTTATTAAATATAGAAATTAATGCATTAAAAATCATGGATACATACGATATTAGTAAGATATAAAATAAAAAGGTGATAATATTTAAGCAAAACCATTAATATCTACTAAAATCTTCCAAAACTCGGTCTCACAAGTGCATGAACATCTACTAGGAGTGCAATACCAATACAACATCTATCAGGAATACAAAATAGACAGGATAACTTAAAAGAATATGGTAGAAACTCTATGTGCTGCGAATCGTATCATGGGATGCAGCTCACCGTAAAGTCCTCTCAATAGTTGCGCCCTTGCGCCCAAATGACTATCAGAAGTATATAGCTACAAAATAAGTGCAGAAGTGTAGCATGAGTACGTAAATCAATGCGTACCCAGTAAGTATCTATCCTAATCTCGGAGAAGTAATTAGGAGCGGACCTAGCGTATTACCGACGGGTTCAATTGAATCCATAACTTTTGACGCGGAATAAAAATTTACATATAAAAATTTAATAAAATTGCAAAAATAATATAAATGAAATCTTAACTTTCAAAATATAACATGTTCAATACTAAAAACTTTAAAAGCTGAACCCATATAATTTAAATCCTAGATTCATCTCTGAAAGTAATGACGAGGGGTCGACATCGACACTTACTAGTGGTCCAATGAATCAATATATTAAATTATGAACGAATATGAAACATAACAACAATAATGAGGTAAGAACTATAACTAACAAAAATCCTCCAACGTTATGACAATATAAATTTCTCAAATCTCACATATGTAAGAAATATGAGGCGCTATCTCAAACAGATAAGAAATATCATATAAATGCCAGGTCTCAACTAAAAGGGAAATCTCATAATTATTCGGACTCCTAGCGATATTACGCACGAGTTATGATGAGGTCGTACAGCCCGATCCAGAATAATGTGTACACTGCCGAGGATCGACCGACGCGAATCATATATGCATCTCAAATATACCGTCGAAGCGTTCGGCCCGACCCACAAGAAGAGAAGAAACTTATCGAATTGCGAGTCATGTGTTTGCAACACAAGAACAGGAACTTAAAGTAAGCATAACTATTACTAGCGATGAAATATCCCGCCAAGCACCTCAAGGTAATGAGGTTCGTTCTAACATGATCTCTAATCAAATTACATTTACAAGTTTTTTGTAATTAAACTAACAAATTGAGTTCAGGTAATACAAATATGGCATATTAAAGTCCTAAGTCTACCCGGACATAAGCATGATTTTAGATACATACGGACTCTAGTCACCTCGTACATACATAAATCCAATAAAAAGTAGCACATAACAAATACAGTACCTACAAGGTAGTTTCCCTTTCACAAGGTTAGACAAGAGACTTGCCTTGCTCCAAAATTTGATAACCGGCTCCAACGCCTCTCTAACGCCTCAAACCGAAGTCAAACGATCCGAAACTAATCAAACAACGTGCAAACCAATCAAAATATACTCGAATACTCATAATTTATAACAATTTTTAACTTCCTCGGAAAGTCAACAAAGTCAACCCTCGGGTACACGTGCCCAAATTTCGAAAATTATCAAAAATAAATATTACCCATAACTTATATAGTCTATATTCATAAAATTATCAAATTTTGTCCATGAATTGACCATCAAATCAAGGATTTATCATTTCTCAACTTTGGGGCTCATAATTTCAATTTCTACAATTCAAATACGGATAAAAATAATAAACAACGGAAATAATCATGATAAAATATTAAAATAAAGTTTATATATTTACCCTCCTTGTTGAGATGAGAACAACGCCGCAAAAATCACCTCAAACGGATGTTCAAAGTACTAAAATGCTCGGTCTGCCTAGGTGATTTCTTCTTCTTTTCCTTCGCGGGACACCTTCGCGTTCGCAAAGAGCAAATTTTTGCGTTGACCGGTCAACCTAGAATTACTTCTTCGCGTTTGCGGGACCACTCTCGCATTCGCGAAGAACAAAAGTTCGCACAAAAAACTAACAATCTTTTCTGACACAAAAATATTTATAACTCTCTCATACGATCTCGAAATTCGATGATTCTTGTTGCTATGGTTCCGTAATTATTATACGGATCTAATGGTCCAATCTAAATACAAATCAAAGTTCGTTTTCTCAATATGGTACCTTTAATATCCAAAGAAATGACGCCGAAACATTAAATAAGAGCGCAACACAACTCAAACCCATCTGAAACACACTCGAGGCCCCCGGGACTCCGTCCAATCACACCAACCAGTCCCAAAACATAAGACAAACCTATTTGTGGCCTCAAATCACACCAAAAAACATCAAAGCTATGAATCGCGCATCAATTCAAGCCTAATGAACTAATGAACTTTTAAACTTCTAAAACTCAAGTTGAACCATGCCAAATCAACACGGAATGACCTAAATTGCATGAAAGTCCCAAGAGATCCAACGGACCTATACCTACTCCTGGAACCACAATCCGAACCCGATATAAACAAAGTCAACTATCGGTCAAACCTATCAACCTTCCAAACCTTCAATCTTCCAACTTTCACCAAAAAGCATCAAATCAACCTACAAACCTCTAAATCAAAATCCAGACCTACGCCTATGTCCAAAATCACCATCAGGACCTGACAGAACCGTCAAAACTCCGATCCGAGGTGGTTTACTTAAAAGTCAAACCTTGGTCAATTTTTCAACTTAAAGCTTCCGAATTGAGAATTATTCTTCCAAATCAAATCCAAACTTCTCGAAATCGGAACCAACCACATGTGCAAGTCATAATACATGAAGTGAATCTACTCAAAGTATCAAACCGCTGAACGATATGTTAGAGATTAAAACGACCGGTCGGGTCGTTACAGGGGGAGTAAAGTATTCTCTAATAAAGACGATTCCATACCCAGGACTCGAATTCGAAACCTCTAATTAAAAATAAAGCATCAGACTACCACAGCCCTCGTTAGTTCGATGCATGTATCTTTAAATGACACAATCGATGACGAAACCCAAAAATAAAAACAATTAAAAGTAACATGGCGTATCAGCAGAATGCACAAGTTGAATCAACAACTCTAAAAGGAAAAAGAAAAAAAAAAGGAGAATTATTACTTTACTAAAAGGATGATTGGTATAAAAATGATAAGTAGGGTTAGGTCAAATTTGAGTGCTATTTCAGAAAGCTAAGGATGATGAAGAAGTCGACGTGAATTAGATATCTCCATTGCATGACACCTGCGAAAATGCCCATGCACGCATTAATTAATTATTGCATGCAATGTATCTTAATTTCCAATTTTTTTTTATGAAACTTGTTTAAGTGGAATTACTTGGTCAGCTAAAGCTGGGTCAACACACCATTGCCTAGTATGGGTTTCCTTTCTTTTAATTCTTCCTCTCTAATCCTCTCTTTTACTTTTAATATTCCACAATATATAATACTTTATCCCTCTCTTGATTAACATTCAGTCATTGATATTTGATAGAGAGGAATCTTAAAAATAGCTAGACTAAAGGAGAGGAAACGGGGAAAGAAATTCAATCCCAGAGAAAAAAAAATTAATCACCCTCTTTTACTTGCATTTCTCATTTTCTACAAATTAAATTAAAGTGCTTTCTGCATTTGAGTTGATATCATGTTGTATTATAGAGTTGGCAGACTAAAATTAAAATAATTATAAAAAATTAATTGGATAGATCAATACTATATTAAGATCTAATTAAATGGTTATTGAATTTAATTCTTTTGGGATATTTTTTTTTTTTACAAAAACTTATAGTACTAATTAAAGTAAAATTGTTAACAAACTGATTTTCCGTTATGAAAAAGTTGTATGAATGTCTAAAAGAATGGAATGTTTTTACCCTTTAAACTGTACTTCTTCTGGAAAGTTTTGCTTAAAAATTAATGAGACATCAAATCCTCAATCGCTGGACGTACTTCTTACGTTATTTAACTGATTTGACCCTTTAGTACGGAATGGGAGTATGGGACTTAGGTTAGATAACTTCCATTTTATGGTTCCTTCACTTTCTATATCAGAAACACTTTCTTCTACATAAAAAGAAAAGAGTACAGGAATCATCTATGTGTGTATAAAACTCACAATTATCAAAAGAAAAAAGCAAAACATAAC